ATTGCTTCTGCTAATCCCTGTGCCAGAGAGAGCTGATGGGCAAAGCAGCCGTTGCCCTAAAGGGCTGCATTTTCTATGCATTTGTTGGAAATTGAAAGTAGAATGTCCAGTAGTGTACGGATAATCCTCGATTTACAAGAATTCATTTAGTGACTGTTCAAAATTACAATGGCACTGAAAAAATTGATTTATTGGAGTATCCGCTTGGTCCTGTGATCAAAATTCAAGACGTTTGTCATCTGACTCATATTTATGACGGTTTCAGGGTCCTGGGGTCATGTGATCCCCTTTGCGACCTTCTGACAAGCAAAGTCAATGGGGGAGCCAGATTCATTTAACAGTTGTGTTACTAACTTTACGACTGCAATGATTCACTTAACGATTGTGGCAAGCAAGGTCATAAAATGGGGCAAAGCTCACTTGACAAATGTTTCACTTAGCAGCATAAACTTTGGGTCATTAGTCGAGGTCTACCTGCAATAGCGTGAGGCTGTCTACGGCAGAGACCTCCAGACTTAGCGACTGTAAGACTGATGGATTTCAACTCCCAGAATTCCTCAGCCAACATGGGAGTGGAACCAGTGGTAAAATTCATTTTTCTACTACCGGTTCTGTGGATGTGGCTTGGTGGGCATGGTTTGGTGGGCATGGCAGGGGAAGGATACTGCAAAATCCCCATTTCCTCCCAATCAGCTGGGACTCAGGACGCAGAAAATAGATGGGGCGGGGCCAGCCAGAGGTGCCATTTGCCAGTTCTCCAACCTACTCAAAGTTTCTGCTACCTGTTCTCCAGAACCTGTCAGAACCTGCTGGATTTCACTTCTGAGTGGAACTCCATAAGTCGTAAAGTTGCCAAGTTTAGAAATCCCTCGGTCTATGGGGCACCATATAGTTTTGGAAGGATACCAAAGAGTTGGAAAAGCTTTTGAGAAGGGTAGTCCAAGAGCAATTCCCCTTCTGGAGAAAGGTTGCAACAACTAGGGGGTTTTCAGCTTGAAGCAAGGGAAGCCAAGGATGTACATGACAGAAATATGTCAAAACTTGTAGAATTCAATTATGAATTGAGAAGTTTTTTCTCCCTGTTTGATAATATTAGCATTCAGGATCTCAGATCCATGGAATCTGAATGGGTTTTTTAAAGTTTATGCTTGATAACCTGGCATTGCCCAGGTATTTTTTTATCCTAATCCTGTATTAGACAGGAAAAGTCCTGATTTCGGCAGCAATTAAATGGTTTCCCTGTGCCCCCAGAAGCATCAAGAAAAGTGATACCACCTTAATTTCTAATGTTGGATTTTCCCCCTTACCAGAGGAAGCCCCCTTGTGGAGTGGTGTGAAGTCCTTACCATGGCGACTCTAGTGCGCTGCACAGTAGAAGCCATTTTACGGCAGTACGGTGGAATCCATTGTTAGGCACAACAGGCTGTATCTTAGCAGAACACACACCCTGAGGGATGTTAGGGGTGTCTTACCCCCACAGTATTTGTTTTCAGAGGGTAAGTAATTTGTGTACCAAATTTGGTTGAAATTGCTCAAGGTGTTCCAGAGTTATGCTGGAACACACACACACACACACACACACACACACACACACACACACGGTGCCATCAAATCGATTTCAATTCTTAGCAACTGCGCAGATNATTTGTGGGTGTGGGGGCAAGATCATGAACTTTCAACTGGGTGGGAATCCTAGGTAACTTCCGGAATTGGGATTCCACAGATGGTTGCCAACATGTCTGTCTTATTAAATTGGAACTTTAAGAATTGCTCTGCCTTGGACTCTGATTTAATTCTGCATGATATTTGGAATGCTGACACCATAATTGAAAATGACGTGGGGTCAGAGTTGGCTTCCTTTGGGTATGTGCCGACATGTTGCTCCTAATAAATAACTGGATTTCTTTTGAGGCATAAATCACATTCTCCAACGGAGCACTTTTGCAGGCTGTAGAGATCATGCCCCTTCAGCTCCTGTGGGTAACCTGGGATAGAGCCTTGAGAAAGATATGCGTGGAAGATGCTGCTGTGTGTGGCTGCTGTGCTATTTCCTCGGTTTCCCATCCCCCCCTTCCTATGGCAATTAGAGAGCAGGCTGGGGATGCTTTGTGAGTTGACACAGTACTTTTTAAAAAGTCATGGTGCCTAATTGATGTAAGATACCATTCCAGTATCATTCAACCTCATTTTTTCTCACCTGGTAAGTCCCAAAGGGAGGTATATAATATTCACCCCCTGGAGAAAGTTTATAGCATTCCTCAGTTTCAATCTCTTTGCAGTAGACCAGGGAGAGAAGTGAAAGGAGGAGACGTCGATCCTTGTCATCTGTCACTCTTCCACCATAATTGCATTCCCCTGGAAACAGAAGAGTTACATCGGGGAGAGCGAGGGCGAGAAGATTTACACCTAAGGGACACACGCACGGGTTGTCACCTGGAGCAGGGGTCTCCAACCTTAGCAACCTGAAGACTTGTGGACTTCAACTCCCAGAATTCCTCAGCCAGCTTGTGGACTTCAACTCCCAGAATTGAAATCCACAAGTCTTCAAGTTGCCAAGGTTGGAGACCCCTGACCTGGAAGATATGAGGCTGAGGAAGAATACAGAATAGATGGCAGATTACTCTTGGTGGACATGCATTTCCACAGCTGGTGTCATGCCATCAGAATTACCACTGGTAAGCAAGGTAGTTTGTTAATGAATCAGGTGGTCCTTAAGTGAAGCCAGCTTCCCCCATTGACTTTGCTTGTCAGAAGCCGTCTGGGAAAGTTGCAAGTGGCGATCAGGTGACCCCGGGAGGATGCAGCTGTCATTAATATATGGCAGTTGTCGAGAACCCAAATTTTGATCACATGACCCTAGGGATGCTTGCAGCAATTGCAAGTGCAAAGACTGATAATGTCACTTTTTTTCTCATGGGTTCAACCAGGGATCAGCAATCTTAAACACTCAAAAGAGCCACAAAGGTCCTAAACGGAAGCCCCCCATTCAATTCTGGAGCCGATCGGAAGTCCAGTTCCCCCGCCATAGAGTCTCCTCCTAGCACAGCGTCCTTTTTCCTCTGCTGACCAGAAGTCTGGTTCCCCCACTATGGAGTCTCCTCCTAGTGCAACATCCTTTTTCCTCTGCCAACCGGAAGTCTGGTTCCCCTACCATAGAGTCTCTTCCTAGCATGGTATCCGTTTTCCTCTACCTGTCCTAACCAAAAGCCCCATCAATTGTGGCGCGGACCGGTGACAGGGAGCCGCAGCAGAGCAATGAAAGAGCCACGCGGCTCCAGAGCCACGGGTTGCTGACCCCTTGGGTTAAACAAACTTGAGTGGCCTGGTATTTAATAACGCTAAATTATGCACTCTTTTTTTATTAACCTGAGTAAGAATGTACCACAAGCAGATCTGGACAAGAGACTAAAATGAATGGGAATTCCTGTTCTATTTTTCACCGCTGAAATTGGGAGAGGTAAATCTATTCTCAACCATGTAACATTAAACTTTGGTTTTGCATTAGGCGAACGTCCTGCTGGTTCGGACAGGACTGCATTCAATGTAATGGGAATGAATTTGATTTTGATCAAATTAAATGAAATCGCACAGTAGCAAGTGCCTGCCATGGTTTGTAATCAACCCTCTCCCATAGCTTAACAGTAGTGCGAATGCAGCCACTGTAGCTTGCCCAATAAACCATGGGTAGTACAACAGATCAGGTCTTAACCGTCGTATGCAAACCAAGCCAGAAGGTGTCCTGTACCTGTCAGGTAAGTTAGAGCTTCGAATGGGGTTTCTTCGTATTCGTTCAGAAACATCTGGATTTGCCTCAAGCTGATTCTAAGATCAGATTCATTGAATTCATAGGGAATATTCCAACCTGTCCAATTCAGGGGGAGGGGAGGAGGGAAAAGCGCAGGAATATGTTTATTCTGACACATGAATGAGATGAAATGCAATCCTGAAATCATGCTATAATCAATGAATTGGCCCTTGAGTTACCACAATAGCCTTTGTTGCTCTATTATTCTGCTAGTTGTATTTGTATGACATGGCTCTCTCGCTGGAGAAATTCTCATTAGGCAAAAGGGCCTGGGTGGGAAGTAGCAACAGCAATAGCCCTTAGACTTATAGACTGCTTTACAGTGCTTTTACTGCCCTCTCTAAGCGGTTTACAGAGTCAGCCTCTTGCCCCCAATAATCTGGGTCCTCATTTTGCCCACTTCAGAAGGATGGAAGGCTGAGTCAACCTTGAGCCATTCTGAATCCCACTCCTGGTATATGGACAGAGTTAGCCTACAATATTGTATTCTAACCACTGGGAGGGAGAGAGGGAGGGAGGAAGGGAAGAATGAAGGAAGGAGGGAAGGACAGAGGGAGGGAGGAATAGCAATAGCACTTATATACCACTTTATAGTGCTTTTACAACTCTAAGCGATTTATAGAGTCAGCCTATTGCCCCCAACAATCTGGTCCTCATTTGACCGGCCTCAGAAGGCTGGAAGGCTGAGTCAACCTTGAGCCATTCTGAATCCAACTCCTGGTATATGGACAGAATTAGCGAACAATATTGTATTCTAACCACTGGGAGGAAGGAAGGAAAGAAGGAAGGAGGGAGGGAGGGAGGGCGGGAGGAAGGAAGGAAGGAAGGAAGGAAGGGCAATAGCACTTATACACCGCTTCATAGTGCTTTACAGCCCTCTCTAAGCAGTTTACAGAGTAAGTCTATTTGCCCCCAAAAATCTGGGTCCTCATTTTACCAACCAAGGAAGGATGGAAGGCTGAGTCAACCTTGAGTCGGTCAGGATCGAACTGCTGGTAGTTGGCAGTTAGCCTGCAATACTCCATTCTAACCACCACGCTGCCACGGTTCTAGTAACTGACCTCAACAAAACCTTGATTCCATCATTTTAAAAATGAAACGAAATCATAGGTCCACGATAACTCTGAACGGTGACTAAGTAACCAATTGTAAGTTGAGGACTACAAGTCTACAAAGAACAACCTCAACAGAAACCTGAAGAACCTTCAGGCTATTCAAGCAGGACAACCCCAATGCAACTGGGGAGAGGAAACCTGCGGGCCCTCTGTCTCACCCAGTGGGCCAAAGTTTCTCCGTTCTTGCACCAGGGCGTGGAAGAAGCATAGCCCAAACAGCATCTTGTGCCAAATTTCCTTTTTTTCACAGGATAAAAAGAAGGCGGGATCGGAAATCGGGTCGTTGAGGTAGGAGCGGAGGAGATTTGCACGGACACCTTTGGGCGGCTCATTGGTCATCTTGATCCCGTTTTGGAGGATGCTGACGGGAAATTTTTCCGATGGGTAACTGGTCAGCCACAACCTGAGAAGCCAGAAGAGAAAAAGAGATTTTAAAGAAGGGATTGGATGGTCATTTGTCCAGAATGGCAGAGGGCAGGAGCATCTAACCTTGGCAACTTTGTGGACTTCAACTCCGAGAATTGCCCAGCCAGCATGAATTCTGGGAGTTGAAATCCACAAGTCTTAAAAGTTGCCTGTTCTGACCCAGTTCCCCAAACACGGCAAACCCTCTTAAGTTAACTCAAAAGATTATTTTATTAGGAGTGCCAGTTCTGGAGAACCGGTAGTGGAAATTTTGAGTAGTTTGGAGAACTGGTAAATACTACCTCTGGCTGGCCACACCCGCATCTATTCTCTGCCTCCCGAGTTCCAGCTGATTGGGAGGGAATGGAGATTTTACAGTATCCTTCCCCTGGAGTGGGGAGGGAATGGGGATTTTACAGTATCCTTCCTCTGGAGTGGGGAGGGAATGGGGATTTTACAGTATCCTTCCCCTGGAGTGGGGAGGGAATGGGGATTTTACAGTATCCTTCCTCTGGAGTGGGGAGGGAATGGGGATTTTACAGTACCCTTCCTCTGGAGTGGGGAGGGAATGGGGATTTTACAGTATCCTTCCTCTGGAGTGGGGAGGGAATGGAGATTTTACAGTATCCTTCCCCTGGAGTGGGGAGGGAATGGGGATTTTGCAGTATTCTTCCCCTGGAGTGGGAAGGGAATGAAGATTTTGCAGTATCCTTCCCCTGGAGTGGGGAGGAAATGGGGATTTTACAATATTCTTCCCCTCCCAAACTCACAAAGCCACGCCCACAAAGCCATGCCACACCCACAAAGCCACCCCCAGAGAACCGTTAGTAAAAAAAAAATGAATCCCACCACTGGATCAATTATTCAATCTGCAGTCTGGACTTCAACTCCCCAAATTCTCTAGCCAACAAAGTTGAAGACTTCTGGGAGTTGAAGTCCACACATGTTAAAATGGTTGAAGTTGAGAAATCCTGTTCTAATGTCTGTAAGTCAACGGTGTGATTTTAATACAGGCAGGCCTCCACTTATAATCACAACTGAAACCAGAATTTCCAGGCCATTTGTGAGTTGCACTTCATTTTATGGTCTTTTTTTTGGGTCATGTCTGTTAAGCGAATCCCTGCGCTTCTTAAGTGCAGTCTTTGTGCACCTTAGCCCCTGAGCCACCGCGTCCCTTCTACTGCCTTTAGAAGAGACTAAACTAAATCCTTGCCTGAATTTGACATGGGTATTCTCAGGCACGATGACTTCCTCGCAGATTTTTTCCAAAGCAGGCATCCAGCTGGTGGCCAGATGACAGTTCTGCAACACAACCCAAGTTCCATCGTTGATCGCCTGGTTGATCATCTTGGCTGCGATGGGGCCTTGTCCTTGTCCCAAAGAAATGGTCTGGATGCTCTCCATTCCAAGATCATCGGCGAACTTCAGCAAACCTAGTCAAGACACACAACTGTTTTCAATATTTTTCCAAAGCACCTGAAAGCCAGGCAAGGAAGAACAGATGGAAACTGAACAAGGAGAGATTCAACCTAGAAATAAGGAGAACTTTTTTGACGGTGAGAACAATCAACCAATGAAACAGAAGTTGCCTTTGGAAGTTGTGGGAGCTTCATCATTGGAAGCTTCCCAAGAAGAGACTGGACTCCCACCTGTCAAAAATGGTGTAGGGTCTCAAGCAAGGCAGTTGGACTAGAAGACCTCCAAGATCCCTTTGAAGTTTATTATTATGTTATTCTATTGTTCTGGGTCAATCTATTTTCCAAAGCATCAGAATGCAAGACAATAGCAATAGCAATAGCAGTTAGACTTATATACCGCTTCATAGGGCTTTCAACCCTCTCTAAGCGGTTTACAGAGTCAGCATATCGCCCCTACAGTCTGGGTCCTCATTTTACCC